ACCCTTTGTACGAACAAAAGTAAGAGAAATTTAGGATAAGAATATGAACATGTTCTTGCATGAGGCCCATTGTCTGAACTTTGACTCTTCTTAATCTCTCCAATAGTGACTCAGAATGATCTAAAAAAACATCAGATTCTTCTCTACAGTCTGTGTTTTCAGATATTTTATCAGTGCTTTGCTCACATGCAGACATTCCCCTTTGACATCACTTCCTGTTGCTTTGCATGCAAATATCTCAACAATTGTTCATCTCAGCGGCGTGAAATTTGTTTTGCAATAWGTTATCAGTGTTGTCTTTTCGAAAAATGAATTTATGACAAAAATTTGATGCCACAGGCACTTTAAGTGATGTGGGTCACGGTGCCGCCTCAGTTTGAACAGGAAGTGAACTCCTTAGTCGTCTTCGAACGCCACACACGGCTCCGCCGCCTGAAATGTCAAACACCTTGTCCGACTGAAGTCTTCTCCCCCCCRGAACTGATTTAAACGCAGCACGTCACAAACATCTCAGATTAAYCCTCACAGGCGGGAGCCGACCACAGCTCCTAACTGCACACAGGAGGCTCGGAGTGATGGAATCAGGCGTCCTCCCTCGCAGCGCGGCACGGCGCCGCGGCGCTGTCTGTGAACACGGCGTGATCGATTGTTTTGGTGGATGCTGGGGACGATGCTGATGGTTGTTTCCAACCCATCTGCTGCCTTTTCTCCCGGTTTTACACAGATGGAACAAATCCTCGGCCTCATGGGGAGAGTTGTTAGGAGCCAGTTGCTCCTGCGATGAAGGAGTTGTAACAATCCTCGGTGCAATAAATCATGCAGAGCTTTCAAACTGCGGGACAGTTCAGATATTGACGAAGATTTATTACTTTTGTGTTTTCTATAAATACAATGTTACTTATTGTAGGTAAATCCACATCTGGCAACACATCCTAGTTTACTACTCTAGGATGATCACCTAATGCTAAAGAATGATCAWCCAGAAGCAGAAAAACCTGGATGTGAAGAAGTAAAAAGGCTGCTAAAAAAGGGCACACCGTAGAGTTAAATAACACTAGAGTGAGCCCCACCTATCCCATCCACTGTTAGCATCAATAAAATATAATTATGTAAAATTCTTAACAATCATGTAAAACAGCAGATATATACAAAAAAGATATAATTTATTAGTAACAACGATCTAAACCAGACTTAAAGTCAGTCAGTAACGTAGACTTTTTAGCTAGTTGCAAAATGATGATTTCAACTTGTAATATTTTATAT